AACTGACCACAACCCCCATTCCCTGTCCCCTCCCTGCACAGCTGGCGGGGAGGAGGAAGAGAAATCGGGATCAAAGTTAAGCCCGGGAAAGAAGGGAGGTGTGGGGGCGAAGGTGTTTTAAGATTTGGTTTTATTTCTCATTACTCCTCTCTGAGTTAATTGGTAATAAATTACATTTTCTTGAAGTCGAATCTGTTTTGCCCGTGACGGTAAATGTTGAGTGATCTCCCTGTCCTTATCTCAACCCCACAAGCCTATTGTTATATTTTTTTCCTCTCCCCTGTCCAGTTGAGGAGGCGGAGTGATAGAGTGATCTCTAGAGTGGCATCTGGCCAGGGTCAACCCACCACACTCCACTCTTATATTTCTGGAGAAGACCTCCCAGATAGCATGTGTGCAGAGGTATCATTTAGCACATATACCACTATCAAAGATGCATCAAATTTGCTGCAATGCTGATTGATCTGATGCATACAGTAGATCTGATGCATTTTGGACATGTCTGCACACAGGTTTTAGAGCTGTTTACTCACATGCAGCGGCCATTGTTGAGGATTTTCAGATGTCCAGTGGTATGGCAGGAGGCATTGGCTACCCAGACAACAGAAGTCCAGACAACCAGTCCAAAAATACATCTAGATTACACAGTAGCCCTGTAGACATCTGACTATTCATAGCTAGCTCCAAATGGAAATAGTCAGGTCCAGACAGACTTTTTAGCAGGAGCTCGCTGCAGTGCTGCCAGGTGCACAAAAAGGCAATGACAATGACCATACATCCAACAAGGGAAGACACAGAACAATCAGTGTGACTGATGCTGTATGAAAAGCATGCAGGGATGAAGGTGGCAACAATGCTGTAGGAGTCAGGAAGAAGAAAATAGCAGCACTGGTATTCCCCAGGGTGGATGTGCACGAGGCGCAAGGTAGCAGCAGCTGCCTCAGCGGGATAGGATGACAGTTGCAGGGGGGCAGGGGCAGCCAAGCTGCCAGGGGGAGAGAACTGGTTATATACCAGTTAGAAATTATTATTCTAGAAATTTATTCTTAATTATGGTTTTAATTTTTTTAACAAGTCCATTTGTCACAGAGGGGGGAAAAAATACCAAACCACAATACATTTTCTGCACTTCATTCTCACAGTCCCATTTATGCAAAAGATTAGCATACAAATACCAGATAGGTCTAAAGAAAGGTATACAGAGTGAAATGTCCTTTTTTCTTGGATTATGAATTTGGTTTAAATACATCATGATAGATTAATCAGAAGCACTGAAAAGATTTTTACTCCCTAAGGATCTTCTTATTCTTGCTCCTTAGACTGTTTCAAGTATTAAAAAATAACATACTTTACTTCACATTTTATAACAATAATTTCACTGCATGTCATGTTTATTTAAGTAAACATTATTTTTCATGGCAATAATCACTAAGCCCCTGGAAGTCTTTATATTTAATATAACATTTGTTCACTTGCAGTGACATTCTTGAAACTCAAAGTATTACAAAAAGAAGACTACCGGTACCAAGCTACAGGTCTTAGAATACTTACTTGTCTACATTAGTGTTTGCTATTCTATCAGTTTACTTACAAATGTTATATTTTACTCATAGAAATAAGTTCACTCACCTTTTTACATTCATCTGTTCTTTTAGTTTGCTGTACATTTCCAGCACTGCATAAAAACAAGCAGATTAACCCATGGATCTTATTGTGGCTTTAGTTAATAAAAGAGGAAAATATATACTGTAAAGAACAAAATAAACCATAGAAAAGGATATGCTAAGTTTACCTTATTTAATTCCTACTGTAATGTAAATGTGACAAAACCAGCAAAAAAAAATTCTAAAATACAGCTAAGAAAGTAAAAAGAACTGAACTCAACAGTTTTTAAATGAAAAAGAGTTAAGATTCCAACAAAAGAGTAGACACTATATATATCAAGCATATTCATTCTCTTACTACATACCATAACTTTATCTGTATTACTAGTCTATGACCTGTCTCCATTAAATGGCAACAGTACCACCTACTGTACTCATAACAAGTCAACAACAAGACTACAAAGAAAAGTTCTCAAACCTTTTACACCAATACCATGAACAGGATAAAACCCTTATACAGCTCTGTGCAATCCTACAATATTATCTTTCCAAAACATTATTTAAAGCCCTCAGGTTTTATAAAAAGAAAAAAACCTGTCATGACAGAGAGCTAAAGGTACAATGTTGAAATAGAATCATCAGTATTTTCCCTAGAATTCAAACAGTAAAAACCACCCTCTTAAGCAACAAACAAACTAATTGTTTACCATATTAAAAATATTACTTCATTTAAAGCTATATGTGGTTACATTGTTTCTATCATTTATATGTGTCTCACTGTCTTCTCATGAAGTGTCATAACTGCTCCGCATCAAATATTGTAAAAGACATGGAACCTACATGTTGACATCTTTTTAAAACCCATTAATTTTTTTGTTAAACTGGAGGTGACAGGACCACAACTTGAAAAATAAAATTATTTTTCATTTTGGCTATTGTGACTTCATTTAATTTGCTATCATATTTAGCTATAGGTCACTCACCTGGAAGACACAACTGTAGTTTTTCTACAACTGTTGTAATATTCCGTTGCTGAACTCTACATCGGATGATTTCCTCTGTTTGGGCTATCACCTTAGAGATTTAAAAAAAAAATAAAAATAAAAAAAGTCACAATTAAATTATGCAACTAAATGTAATTTGCTACAAATATTCTTAATGCCCATGTAGGAAGCACCATTTTCTCACCTCTTTCCCAGCATCCTGAAGCCTTCGGTTGGTATCAGTAACTTGGACCTTAAAAATAATTTCACCTTTGTTAGACAAATATGCATATATTGCCCTGATGTGACTGCTCACCCTTGTAATCAGATCATGCTTCATGAGAAACTTAGAACAAAGAAATGCAAATTCAAATTAACTCTACAGCTTGAACTTGAACTTTTGATCGCAAAGGGTTTTTGTTAACTTCAATTACTTATGACAGTTCTTTCTAACAGATTCTGTGGCAAACTTATCAAATTTACTTGGGATTTTTGAACTTTCCTTGTTTCTGTAGGTCTGTCAAACAATTCAAATCATTGACCCAATTGACCACTGGTCCCTTTTTGATAACCTCAATGAGCTCTATGGGCCATTCATTGTCTGTAAGAAATGGTGATTGCATTTTATGGTAATTAAACATTCATACTTTGCTGAATGCAAACACTGGGTGGTTGATTAACATCAAACGTGGAAATCTCCAAACCACAGCAACATTTTAATGCTGCAGGTGCAGGCAAAGCTCGACCTCAGATTTTCCCACATAGTAAGTGACTCATTAGGTCATCATAATAAGGAAGCACATTCTAGTTTATTAAAAATCTCATTAATTTCTGAACAAAGATGCTCAATGACCTCATTGATGCTGTATTTGGTCTCTTGTTATCTGAATATCCTTTATATAATGCTCTTCTAATCATAACCTCTGGTGAACTATGCTCATTCTGTCTGGTGTGCATATTTTGCTCTCAAAAGTGTAAAGAGAGCTAAAAGGGACGGATCTCATAATTCACTATTCTGCATTCTGATTTGGGAGTAAATCTTAGTTCTCATTTCTAATGAAAGCTACTAACTCCACCTACATTCCTACTAATTACAAAGTGAAGAAAATTTATTTTTCATGCAAAATTGCAGTATTTTTATTTTTCTAATCAAGAGTTTAATTTTTTCTAAGGTCTGATATATAACCACATAATTAGAATATGTAAGAAATTACCATTTGTTGCTCTTTACCTTCTGAGAAAGCCTTTAAAAAGGGCAATATAATTTTGGTAATGTTTTCTGAAAACATACACTAAAAAATAAAATAAAATCAGAATTAAAGCTAATAAAATACTCAGTTTTGAAAATGTAAATTACTGGATCAGGCAACACAGCTCTAACCACAAATTCAAAATAATCCACTTTTAAACAATTGTTGCAAACATCAGACTGTATGTGATAACCACTAAATTCTTATTCTTCAGTAGAAGAGTCAAGTTCCTTGTTTTAAATTTGAAGACAATGATACACGAAACTCTGAAAAACTAGTTCCTTACCTTTAATTTTTCGGCATCAGCCCTAACTTTAAGAAGTTCTGTAATAGCATCCACAAAGCCCTGATGGTGAAAATTGCACATCTTTTCTATCTCCCTGTCATGGTTACGTATGCAGGCATCTAGTTTTTCCATAAACCTCTGATGTGCATTTGGTTGGTCATCATATACAGACCTGTTAAATACAAATAGGAAAATCAAAGTTGACTTTGAATCCCAATTCAAAATAGTACGCAAGGATCTTTATTGAAATCGCTCTCTTAAAAAGAAAATAAAAGCACACAAACTTGATGTTGCAGTGGCATCATTTGTGATCCACTCCACCAAAATCAGCATTAAAAGAAAGAGATGGCACAAAACTGAGAATTGAACCCAGCCCTTATGGCATTAATCCAGGTGCTTAACCGGTTACATCACGGTTGACCTGAGCCTCACTGGTCTGTTATTTATGCCCTAATGCTCAAATACGGGTACAAAAGAATCAGTTTCTCCGATCACCTCAAATAGCATGGATCGCTTTTCCATCAAATTCCACCCCTTGCTAAATATAAAGAAGTGCAAACATACAAATTTGCTTTTCTGGTATTCCTAACACCAGACTAAACCAGGGCTGGATGCTTCCAGACCAAATGACGGGAGCATTGTGCAGCAGCAGCTGAAGCCCCATCAGAAGGCAGTCCCCCCTGCTCCCTGCCTCCTCCTGCCCATGTTCAACACCTCCCAGAGCAAAACCATGACATGTATATGCCTACGGCTGCTACCTCAATGGGATCTAACTTTCAGGAATGGCTAAAATCAGGTCTTTCAGTTTATTTTACTAATTGGTTTAATAGCACGCTTATAAACCTTCAACAGCAGGAAGTACGAATCCTGAGAAACTGGCAGTGTAGCTTATTGAGCTGCATCAGAAATACAAAGCTGCATGGAAGTATGCTCAAGCATGAGAGTGAGCAAAGGCGACATGGGACAATTTAGAGCTTTAGACTTTAGCAGAGGAAGCAAGGAAAGAGGTATTACAGAGAACTGTACTGGAAATCAAAGGTATGAAATCTCCCAAGAAAGGTAAACACAGGCAGTTCTAAAATTTGATTAATAACTTGATATAGCAACAACAGCAAAGACAAGTAATTTTTGAAGCAGCTTTTCAGATAGAATGAGAACAGCAATACAAGAACGACATAGTCATACATATACAAATATGTTTGTACTCCAAACTACAAGTGTTCAAAAAAAAATCATGAGATCAAAAATCTTTAAATTGTTTTTTTAGTCTCTAACTTCCTTTCATAATTACAAAGTTTTCTCCAGAAATCTGTAAGGAGAAGTCACTTTAAAAAAAATAAAAAAGGAAAAAAAAAAGATCTTAAGATGGAAAAAAAAATGCTGAAGTTCCAACGGTCTCAATGTTGCTTGTAGAAGTATATAGTCTTAAGTTCAAGACCCAGGCAACAGTGAGTCAAAGCCTCTAAAACTCTTGAGTAAAGAGAAAGTATTTCAGTCTTCCTGGAGAAATATGACTTCCCATACTCTCAAGATCCTCTTTTCTAACCAGACAGCTGGGCTCTGCCAGGGTCTGGGGTCATCATCACCCATTCAACAAACCTATAGCTGAGTGTCTGACAAGAACTTGACCTTTTAAGGAAGAAAAGGGTATAGAAGATTGAAAAGACTCTTGTAACTAGATTCTTCATCCTTTTTGAGTTCCTTTTGACCCTGGACAATATACTCTGAGAAACAACTGAAGCCAGAGAAATGAGAAAGGTAATAAGCTGTCCTACATGCCAAAGGAAGAAAGCCAATTCCTGACAGCCTGCTTGCTACAGGTATTTTTCAGGGAAAAATTTATTCAATAAAATATTCCTAGAATATCCCCCTTTTGCTTATGACAGTAAATAAGGCTACGGTACTGAAATGCAGGCTCTTCCCTCCAAAGTGCACCAGGTTAAAAATATTACATTGTTGACCCATGAAGTGGTTCATAAAGGGAAAATTACCCCTCACCCTTTCCACCACCACAGATTGAAATGACAGCTGGAAGGAGCAAATGGGTGACAGTCTCCTCCTGAGGTTCCCATCAAACTGCCTGAAAGGGACCCATCAAGGCTGCTCAGGATGACTGAGGTTTAAAGGGCTGTGGTGGAAGAACACGAGTCACCCACACCTGCCAGTGGCAAACACATGCACCCAGAACCTGGTGCTGGGCTGGGAGGGAAGAAAGGTGCAAGACACATAGTCAGCACTGAGTGAGCTCTCATTAGGCAGCCCAGTATTCTGCATCTGAAGATGCAGAGGGAAGCATATAGGCCATATCACTGCTACCTGTAAAGAAATGGGGAAGGAAAAAGGTTCAACAACTGATGTTGCAGTGCTCCAAAATACACCATACAAGCTGGTCACGTGATCTCGGCTCTGTGTCTATATGAAAAGTGTCAGAGGTGTTGGAACCTACAGGGCAGACACAGAAGGACATCCACCTGTCTCCAGAGTATGATTCCTGGAGAAGAAATAAAAATATTAGGAGGATCAGAGGCATCAGATAGTGCCTTCACAGATATTGGGCAAGCATGAGCTTCCTCTGAATGGGCTGGACTCACCATCTACACTGCACTGGATGCTAAAGCAAAAACCAGGAAAAAAAAAGTTCAATTTATTAATGCTTCCTTAAGCCTTTTATTTAAGGGTGGGAGTCTCCAAGTTTAGGTCTCCTTCCAATGTTCGCAAAGGGAAGTGAGAAAGGAGTATCATTATTACAAAGATAGAAGACTTCCATCTTTCGCTGTGTACTCATAACTGTAAGTTGTGTGATATAACTGTAAGTGAAAATCGTAGTAAAACACAGTAGACCAAATATACCTAAAATGAGAATAAGACTGTAAAAAGATGGTGCAGGAGGAACTCCATACTTGAGTTTGTACCACCAAACTTTCTTTGGTGGTAGCAATCCACTGTCTTTTTGGACTTAGTTATGGCCTCATGATTTTGGGGTATCCAGTAGCTGCAGTTCAGCATGGCTGTCTTGATACCTTTTTACTAATTTCAGATCTGCCAACACAGGCAGACATGCTGTTAAAATACTGTCTGAGGGAAATAATTTGCAATCAGGAGCTTTCTCTTTAAAATGTTATCAAACAACTCCAGACAACACAGGCAGAAATTCTGGAAGCACACATGATGTAGCATAGGCAATATTCACTGTTATAAAAATCAGGGGTTTTTTTTTCCTCAATATTAAAGATACTTATACTTCAATTTAATTATAATAAATAAAGCACTGATTGATAATTCTCAGGTATTATCACAATATTTAATTGAAAATCATAGAGGGAATAAATGTTCACAATTGGAGCGGAAGAAATCAATACTATGTGCATCCCGACACACTCCCTTAATCACAAGATTACCCTATCTTATTAAAATAATTAAAATAAGTATTTTATATTCTACACTGTACTGTTTTCTGCAGGGATACTAATAAAATGGTGATCTGTGATCTAAAGCAGTATTTTGGCAGAGCTGCTTGACTCGCTAGGAGCGTAAGTGCCATACTAATTACTTATGTAGACAGCTCCATCTTGTGGGAACAATAACAAATCAACCCTCTTCAGCACACTAGTGAAAAAACTCCCGAGACAGAACTCCTTACCTTTAACGAAATTAATCATGGCAGTATTCAAAAGAAATTCACACTTTGTATCACCACTCTCTGATCTAGGTGAGAAGTAAGAAGATGAATTAAACGAGTTCACTAACTTCCTTAAGACACTGTACTCTAAGGATACTATGCACATGCTATCTCAGAGGCTTCAAAAGGAAGTCCGACCAAAAGCACTGGCATTTTTGAAAGTGTAAGCATACTCAAGAGAGCCATGCCATCTCTGGCAACAGACAGAAATTAGGCTTTTTCTCAAAACTGCAAACACAACTGAGGCGATGCACACCTGAGTTACACATTATGGAACATCACATGTAGTACAGTATGGTTTATTTCTGATACTGAAGCTTATTTTCCATACATATATTTCAAAAATTACCTACACTTATCTATATAAAGTAATTGGTACCTTTGAATAATTATCTGAAGGTGTACATTTCAACAGATTATGGCGCTGCAAGCAATCCTGATGACAGCAATTCTGCACTTATTAAGCCATCAGGCAGACAAATCACCCCACTGCAATATCTTGGAGAGCGACACAGATTCCTGAAAGCATCCTATAGCTAATTCTTTTAAATTAAAAGACAAAACAGAATTGACAACACACACACACTCACAGTTCTGTTGGGAAGAGAGTGAGGAAATGGTAACCCTTCCAGATGCATTTCTTCGTGAGATTACTATGACATGCATTTATGTCTAACACTAAAAATCTCTCTCTAAGTTGCTTCACATACTTCAGTGGGAAGTGTCATAAAAAGGGGCAAAGATGCCTCAGCTATCAAGAGAAATTTTACACTTATACACCTCTGAATGAAGAACCCCAAGGAACCTCTTCAGCTTTATGGGCCCCTGAAGTGGATGCTGTTGGTCTGAAATATAGCACAAACCTGAACCAAGCCAAACTGAAAGATCAGTTTGTATTACAATTGCTTTCAACCTGTGATCTATGCAGCTATAGGAACCTATAGACTACTAGTGGTTGATTCACACCACGAAACTCTTGAAGAACAAGCTTTTTCTCAGTCTGAGTCTTCAAACTGGAGGAAAGAAAAGGGGAAAATCAGCGACGTTGGAAACAGAAGTTTGTACTTGATTTTGGCACCAAAAAAAAACCCACCCACAACATACCATCTTAATTTTCAATCTGCAATGAGAGAACATTAACTTGAGTGATCAGTTAGATATCAGCACTGCGAATTAGTGACAGGGCAGGTACTATTTTCATTCCTAATCGATGGGGCAAGCAGGGCACCCATGAAAAGCACAAGCAGAGCTGAAGGATTTTTCTGGTAATGTGTAGCAGGTTATTTCTCTGTATTTCCCAGAACTCTGTATATAGACAGGGAGACTTTTTTTCTGACTCATCCCAACAACCGGACAATATGAGTCATACTAATGCCAGTCTAGGTAAACAGAAGAGTGTGCAGAAACTATTCAAAACAGGGGAAAAAAATTAACCAGGAATTGTCAGAGACAGCTTAACCTAAATGAGAAAGATGTCTCTGTCACTGGCTCAA